GTTACCAACATCTGGTGAAAATTTCATGTCATTAGCACCTCTAGTAATATATTTACTGAGAAAAATGGTGACGTGTTCAATACTTATTTTACCCACTGTAATTGTATGTGAAATGTGAAATTACATTTAAGTTAACCGCCACAAGATATTTGAGACTGACGTTTAAAGATTGTAGCAATCTTTTTAGGTCTGGTTCAGATTAGCTCATCAATTCAATCAAAAAGGTAGGATATATTAACTTGATCTAAACCAGAGGTCTTCAACCCTGTTCCTCATGATCCACTCTCCTGCATGTTTAAAATGTTTCCCCGCTTGCTTTTCTGCAAGTGGACTATAATTTCTAAACAAAGCCATGCAGTCATTGCTCCCATTGGAGTGAAATGACAGGGGTAGGACGGAGCACAGACCTGGAAATAAAGATGGTGCTGTTAGCAGCACTGTAATACCAGTTAGAATTTCAAGAGCAGCTCATTTAAATGACGGTTTTGCAATGGTATACTTCTAATTATGGGATGGCATTGGCTATTACAAACCTGTTTTAAACTTAATAAATTATCAATAAATTTAGATAAGACTAATTATATGATATTTAGTATTAGAAAGATAACTGTCGATGTTCCATTTAGAGTTGATGGTGTTGAGATCTGTAGAGTCAGTGAGGTGTTTTTTGGTGTCATTATTGATGAAAAACTGGCATGGAGATCTCACATAAATCATTTAAGAACAAAAATAGCCAAGTCCACTGCAGTATTGTATAAAATAAAGGACTTATTCAATGCTAAAGCTCTGTTTATATTGTATAATGCAATRATTGTTCCACACTTAATTTATTGTGTTGTTTGGGGAAAAGCGTGTAAAACAATAACAAATTGTGTTTTTATTTTACAGAAAAGAGCTGCAAGAACTATTACCAGAAAGCATTACTATCACCCATAAAATACATTATTTCATCAGTTGAAGTTACTGAAATTCTATGATTTGGTTGATTATAGTATTTTGTCAGTTATGTATAGGGCTCATAAAAACACATTACCTTCAAACATCTAATTACATTTTATTAAAAGAGAGTTGTTACAATTTGAATGTTTGTCAAAATTAAAGTTAGAACCAGTTTGAAGGAACGGAGTACTTCAGTCAGGGAATTAAATTATGGAATAATCTGGAGGACGGCGTTAAAAATGCCAGACCGATGTGTATATTTAAGAGAATAATAAAGGTTCATTTGTTGGAGAAATATGTATGGGTATAATGTAC